ACCCTGAAGTTTAGGATATTGTTTGGGGTAAAATTGTTAACAGCAAGAGAGAGTATGAGGCCTTGGTCCTTGGGTTTGGCTAAGAAAGAATTCAGAGCCAAAAATTAATTTAGGGAGTCACAGAGGTAGAAGAACTGAGCCATATGGACTGTGGGGACTCAGGAAATGAGTTACAGAGGCAAAGGAAGGGCCCTTGGAGCTTTGGAGAAAGAAACCAAAGATAACATGCCTGAGGGAAGAAGCGGGAAAGGTGGGGGCGTGCTCCAGAGAGTGCACCCTGAGGAAAGAAGGGGGTGGAAGAAGGCGCTAGCATGCTGTGGGGGTGGGGGGTGCTCGGCGGGGGGGGGGGGGGGCGGTAGGGAGCCTTCAAGGTTTTTATGTTATTTCCAAGGCAGGGATTTTAGGGGAGGTCTCAGAGAGGATCTCAATAGAATATTCATCAGCTTCCAGGTGTGCCTTTTGGGGTTCATGGTCTCTACTGATTGGTCAGCACTAGGAGAGGGGGTCATTAGTTATTATGTCTGGTCTTGGTGTCGGGTGTTCTCAGTTCATCTGGTTTTGCTGTTTTTCTGGACCTGGAGCTAAAACACAGCTGAGGCCTAGACAGTATCCCTAGTTTGACCAAAACTCCATCTCTGTGGTCAGCAGACCTGAGGCTTTGCTCCTAAGGTTATTTGATGCCTGTCAAAACCCCATTGTCCTGAGGGGTCAATTCTTATGGAAATGGTCATGCGAGAGCTTGTATGGGAGTCTTATGAGGCTGTTCTCTGGCCCCCTCATTCCTCCTCTAAGGGGGTCTGAACTGGATGGCTGCTGACGTGGAAGGTCAGGGAGTCTAAACCAAAGGACCAGCACCATCCTAGGGGAGGAAAGGTCAACCTGGGGGTAAGGTCTTAGCCTATAGTACTTGTTTTCCCAGTTTTGCCTGTTGCTAGGCACCAAGGACTTTCTGCCCTGGTGACATTCCGGACCTGGCCGTTCAGTTCTGCTCTGCTCATGCCTGTCTAACTGCCTACTCTATCAAAATCATAATACATTTTTAAAAAGAAAAATACATTTCTCCTTGTTCTATTAAACACTGGCCATTGGTGTGTTAAGGTGCTCAGAGAATTCTGTTTGTGGGATTTTTTTCGAAGGACAAATATTGATGTGTGCACTACAGAATTAAGATAAATGATAATTGAAAGAGATGATAAAAGCTAGCGGTTTCCTTGGGGAAATAATCACAAATTACTGTCAGACTGATTCCAATAAGAACATTGCTTTATGTGAAATGTTTTTTAAACAGCTCAGCCAAAGCACTAAGCCAGAGCACTTCGGATACCTTCACCTTAGGTCTCTCCACTTATATTATTCATTGTTCCAGCTGCAGTGTAGCGGCCAGTAGTCAGTGGGAAATAAGAAATAACAGATTGCAAGAAGGACACTGTGGATCCTTGAGATAGCTCTGCAGTTTCGCCATACTGACTCACCAGAGGATGCTGCGCAGGAGAACTTCCACTGGCCCCTGAGATCCACCCTGCCTCCTGCTCCTGCTGCTCCTCGCCCTGGGAGTCTGACCTGTGTAACCAACCACAGCCTCCCTCTTCTCCGCCTTCCTGTTGGGTGTGACAGTTAGGGTGGCTATGTAACAGGACCAGATGGGATCGGATTGTCTGTGTTCCTCTATCATATGCCTTCTCTGTGTAGCTTTCCTCTGTGGTTCCGAAAGTTCCTCCCCGTTCCTGTTCCTCCAGGCTTATGGTTTATAAGGGCTCTCTGGTGCTGCCTGCCACAAATATTAATACATTGTTCTTTCTTGGTTTCCTTAAAATCTATCTGCACCTTTGTAAATAGCCTATTAAATTGCTCTCAGATTAGCCAGTTTGAAGGAGCCCACTGATCCTGCGGTGATCCTGACGGGTATTTGCCCAAGTCACCGAGATGGCAAAGTTGGTGATAATCTAGATATCATAGTCCACCTCTTTTGCCTTATTTCAAATAAACACTGTCTTCTAGGCCAGTCTACTTCCAAATTATAATAAAATAGAATGGAGGTCAGCAAACTACAGCCTTGCGGGCCAAGTCCACCCTGCTGCCTGTTGTTGTAAATGGAGTTTATTGCAAACAGCCATGTCCACTTTTTTACTTACTGTCTAAGGTGGCTTTGTAGCTACAACCAGAGGTGAGGAGTTGGAACAGGAACTATATGGCCTGCAAAGCCTAAACCATTTGCTGTTTGACCCATCAGAGAAAAAGTGTACTGATCCCTGATTTAGAGGAAAACCATAATGGGTGAACTTTATCGTTTTCCTCAAGAGTCTCTGGGGCCAAATGCTGGGACAACTGTGAGTGGTCCCATGACAATGCCACAGGAAGCTTTAACCAGCAGGCCTAGGCACGTTGGCATGAGGCAACTTGGGAGGTCGCTTTTTGTCATCTGATGTAAAAAGAATGCAACCATGCAAAACTAGGAGGCGTTTGTATTTAAATGTGCGTATCATTGATGATTCCATAATTAAACAGTTTCCTGAAAAGAATAGCTCTCCCTAGTGTTTCAGCATTTCCCTATCAAAGTTATTTTGTACACAGTCATCTCCCCGACCAGACTGTGAACACCCCCTGGGGGAGCGCAGGTTTTATTCACGTCTGTGTTGGCCGGGCCCGGCACCGAGCAGCTGTCGCTCTGTGAATATTGTTTGATGAAATGATAATCAACACCTATTTCAGAGAAAGAAAACAGAAATGTGGAGGCAGTGGAATTTCCTGACCCATCCCCTATATCCCAGTAAAAATAAGTTCACAGGGAAAAAAAGAAACAGGGAGGGGTAGAAGACATTAACTGGGAAGATACATGAGCTAATGTTCTCAGGCTCTCTCTGAATGGAATCTCTGCCTGTTCAACCATCACAAGGCAAGAATAGCTCTAAGAAAAGGCTGTTTTTACAGAAAGGGTGCCCCTCAGGGCAGACTGACTACATATTTTGTGGGGCCCAGCGCAAAATGAAAATGCAGGGCCTCTTGTTCAAAATTAAGAATTTCAAGACAGTGTCAGCAGAGCGTGAAGCCAAACACGGGCCTCCCTGAATGCCCATGAAGCCGGCCCTGCCTAAAGGGTTCCCGGAAAAGGGGCAGCCTGTGGGAAATCCGTGAGGGCTCTTTAAGTCTGGAGGGACTGCAGGGTGCTCAGCTGCTGCGAGGCGAGGCGGGGCAGATCTGGCCGGGCAGTAGTACTGTGGGCTCTAGGGACTCTATGCAATGAGTCAATGCCTAACCTGGAACAACCCTTTATCACTTACAAAGAGTTCGCATTTATCTCAGACGCTCAGTCCCGACTGTGCTGCTCTTTCCCAAGCCCACACACCTGCCCTCACACTGCTAGCCTGCTAGCTCCCCCGCGGCTTGCTTTCGGTTTAACCCCGAGTCGTCTAGGCCGCCCCATCTAAGAGCAGCAAACCACACTTGTACTAAAGCATCTCAGGGCTAACCTGTGTAGATGTTTCTTTTTTGGACGATAGACGGTTCTTGCCATAATACTGGTTTTATTTTGTCCAGGTCCCCATAACAAAACACCGCAGTCTGAGCGGCTTTATAGACAATAGAAATGTGTTGCTTATGGCCCTGGAGGCCAGAAGTCCAAGATCAGGGGGCCAGTGTGGTTCGGTTCAGGGTTGTAGACTGCCTCCTTCTGGCTGTGTCCTCAGATGATGGAAGGGCCTCGGGAGCTTTGTCGGATAGCTTTTATAGGGGCACTGATGCCATTCATGTGGGCTTCACCTCATGACCCAACCACATCCCGGAGGCCCCACATCCTAATATCATCACATCGGGCATTAGGATTTCAACATAAAATTCGGGGATGGGGGTAGGGCACAAACACTCAGACTATAACAACACCTGACTGAAGAACAATGCATATACACGAAGGGTCCCTTTATCTTGTCCCCTGCTCCCTTCTTCACCATACAAGGGAGTTTAGGGGACTATCCCAAGCACTTTGCAAGAATCCCTGTGCCAAGATGCCCAAAGTCTTTCCTGACACCAGACATTCACCCTGCCAGCAGCTGAGCTGCTCTGGGCTCCCCCCATTTCCCCTCTGTCCCTGGTCCTTTCCCATCTTGCCCCGTGAGCCGAACTCACCCCCTGACAGTGAGTTTCCAGGAAGTTTCCAGGCGGTAAGAACTACAGGTGGGGGACTTGGAGCTCTAGCAAGGACCTCATCACTATTGCTTCCTTTTGACTGGAGGGATACCCACTTTTGTTTCTTCTAGACCATCGCCTTCCCTCAGCCCTGCATCCACACCACTCTTACTACAGAAGGTCTCTCAGGGTGTATTTCTAGCCACTGTGCCCATAGGAGCTCCGCATGCCTTCTGCTGAAAGGCGAGGACTGCCTCACAGTGCTACAGGGCCACCCTTGACAGCTTGGCTAGTGGCAGCTCTGGGCACCTTTGCCACATGTGCAAGGTCCCGGAGGCTAGGAGGTCTGGGACGCTGGGTGGCGCCACCGCATCTCCCTGCGGCCCCACCTGTCTCCCTGAGCTGGGGAAGCTGCCCAAGTGCCCCAGATTTCAGGCATCACGGTGCTGAGAAAACAAAACTCACCCTCAGGGAGGCGCCTATCTCTGAAGCACTGAGCTTTGGAAACAGTAGTCGATAGGAGAGCGCTGCTTCTGAAAGGGGAGCAGCGTGCCCTGCAACACAAAGCTGCAGCAGGAGAGCCAAGTGGGGTCAAGCGGAGTTTGCCTTTGATGAGGAGAGTCAGACATCCCCGGGGATGTCTTTGCAATCTCCTGCTTAGCCTGGTAGTTGGGCTTTCTCTGGCCTCATTTGTCTCTCGGTGACTGATATGGTCCTAAGGACAGCAGTTCTGAACCAGCTCCCTGCCCCACCCAGTGCAGGCAAGTTTGTTTTGCAGGTGGCTGGGGTGGCCTTGTTGCCTGTCTCACGTGCTAGGCCTTTCCAACCCCACCCTCAAACTCCTCACCACTTAGACACCGACTGTGTTTTCTCTCTCGCAGGGTCCCCGGTGGCACATAGACCTCCAGCCTTGGGCAGGCCCTGCTCAGTCCCTGGATGAAGAAGCCTTGAGATTCCTGAGATATATCAGCACCACTCAGGTTGTGTTTCATGCACAAAGGGGTTTGGAGATGATGCAAAAGATACTGATTGCCCTTTTTAAGGAAGGATTTGTCAGAGAGGGGGTGGGGAGGTATTCAGGCTCAAGATAGGGACTTGAGAGGAACACGGTTTCCGAGGCTCTGCTGCTTAAGTTTACCCACTCCCTTGGAGGCAGATAAGGATGCCTTCCATTTACATCAGCATCCCCTCTCTTCCCTCCTGAAATGTTTTAATGATTCATCCCGATGTGTTTTAAGGATCCACTTTAGAAAATTGCTTTGGAAACCCATCTGAAGAGACAGATTCGTACCCATGAGTAGGCAGTCAAGTGTGTCAAAACCCTCCTCTGGGGGTTCAGCTTCATTTGTATCTGGAGGAATCCACCTTTTTCCTTTTCTGCCACAGGGTCTTGGCAGCCAGCGATGTGCCAGGCCAGAAAGCACGGGAGGCTTTGCACGCAGTCCAAAGAGAAGCTTATGAATCCAGAGGCGTTCTGTTCTTTAGGGCACCTTAAATCATTACTGAGCGCTGGCCTGTGTTAGTGACATAACATGCTGTGGCAGCTCCGGCCCTGCTCAGCAGGCTGAGTCAGTGCCCCAAGCAGACAGAGAGCTCGTCCATTAAGGAGAGTCTATGGCTCTTGACACGTTAATCAGGAGGTTCCATTCTCAAGCAGCCTGATCTGGGGGAGAGAGTCAGAAGAGGAAATGAAGGCCAGAGGGAAACTTCAGAGGGAAACCTGAACTGAGAAGTGCGAGTAAATTAGCAACTCAGACTGCCTGTGAGGCCTAAGCCCGCTCAGGAAGCCTCACTGCGGGGCTGGTGTGGCGCTGGGGACCCCAGTTCTTTTGATGTCCCTTCAGCCCACAGGCTCTTGGCCCTCCACTCTTCCTCCCAAATCGCACTGGCAGTAAAGCCCATTTTTCATCCAGGGGAGAGAATATATTTCTAGATCTTTAGAAGGCTAATTTAGGGGTAGAAGAAAGTCCCATTTCTCATATGATGTGGTCAATCAGGGATTTTAATATTTGTCACCCAGACATGGAAGTAAAAGCTTGTTGAATTAATTGTGAGTAATGGGATGATAAATTGGTCCCCGTGCTTTGCATAATTTTTATCTTATTTTGCTGCTACAGATTAATTTGGTGGACTCACACAGACTTAATTAAAATACTGAAATTGTAACTTTACAGTTTGGTTTTATGTGAAGGAGGAGAAGCTGGACCTCTTACCTGTGACTTGAAGAAGCCCTTTAAGGCCCCTGAGAAAAACGAGAGATGTTAAATTTATGATTCGAATTTGAGAACGATGGGCTCCACCCCTCAAAATAAATTGACCAAGTGAAAGCCTCTACATTCCATTTAATATGTGTTGCAGGTTAATGTTCTGTAACTTCTAAAAGGCATATTTATTTAGAAGAAGCTCTTGAGGCATGAAAAGGTCATCTCATGCTCCTCTTAGATCTTTCCCATGACTTATGGACTAAGAGAAAAAAAATTCTTAAAAAAAAAAAAAAAGGCTTGCTACAATGTGCCCTGATGGTGTGACCCTGGGCAATTTATTTTGCTTCTCTGTCTCTCACTGTTCTGATCTTGAAAAAGAAAAGTACTAAATTATTTCTAAGGTCCCTCTCAGTTCTGTGACCTTGTACTGTGCTGAGAATAGTGTAGGGCTGTTATTTTTTGAGCACCTCTTACGTGCCAGGAACTGTGCGAGGCCCTGGGGATTTATATAAGTCTCAAGAGGCTAATAAGTTGGAAAGGCAGAGAAATGGATGTACAATGATTATTCAGCTTGATGGGTACAATAATAGATACTTGGTTGATGAAGCTGGTTAGGCAGATTGTCCTCCAGAAAGGATGAGATAAAGTTCTAGACCGCACAATGGTTTTGTAATCAGTGGTCATTTTACCCAGTTAAGTCCTGTGTTTTTATGTACTTCCGGGTCACTCAGAGACCAGCAAGTGGGAGCTCATCAGAGATGACACTTGTTATTAAATAGAACCCTTTACTACCCAGTGCTTTCTCCCCTTTCTACATAATGCAGAGCTTTTGAGCTGCTTTGGGGGCTTATGATTCATTTAGAACTCATTTTGGAAATGAAAATTTATAAAACTGGCAGAATATTAGAGTCCCTATTACCTAAAATTTTCAGTTAGCAGAAATGAGTCATAACAGGCAAGGAAAAGAAATTAAACCTCTGAAGGTACTAAAGCAAATTCCACCCCCATCCTCTTCTGCATTTTAAAATAAAAAATTATTTTCCTCAAATCTGTATGCAAACGTGTACAGCAAGGCTCAGCGTGTCATATGTTTGTTATTGATTTATTCTTCTTCAATTCAGTAGATATTTGTTGAGCTCCCCCTTTGTGGCTGACACTGTGTGGGACACCGGCTGGAATACCAAGCCTGAATTAAACTCCCTCTCCCACTGGTAAACAGCTAGAGTGCAAGAGAGTTGTATGTTCTGTAGCAGAGTAGGAAGCTCAGAGGCGAAAGCACAGAACATGGGGCAGTGTGGCTTTAGCCTGTAACAGAGACGGTGCTCCTAGGCTTGTGCATTGTGGTGATTCTGAGGGCATGATTGAAGCCCTGCGTTTTTTAAAAAATATTTTATTTATTTATTTTTAGAGAGAGGGGAAGGGCGGGAGAGACAGAGAGGAAAAGAAACAACGATTGGTTGCCTCTTGCATGTGTCTCGACAAGGGACTGAACCTGCACCCCAAGCATGTGTCCTGATGGGGAATCAAACCAGCGACCCTTTGCTTTGCAGAGCGATGCCCAACCCACTGAGCCACACCCGTCAGGGCAGGGGACCCTGTATTTATTTTTATGAAACATTAGAGGATACGGTGTTTGGGTTCAGTGTACAGAACACCAAGCTCATTTAATTAGGTATTGTTTTCTGATGTGAAAGACCATGGTTACTACTCTGAGTTTTGAAGTCGCTGATACACTGCTGTTAACTAACAGTTAAATCATAAATACAGTGCTCTGTTCTAAGGGAAGGCTCCAGATCTAGCTTTTCATGGCAACCCCCAAACCATATGCCTCTAGCAAGCATGCCTTGCAGTATAAAATTAATCTAAGCAACAGTTGCTGTTTTAAAAAATAAAATGTTTTAAACTCTCTATCCATCTCTCTCTCTCTCTCTCTCTCTCTCTCTCTCTCTCTCTAATCATCTATCCAGATACCTATTTTTCAGAATAACATAAGAACCTAGGTTCTGGAGATGCAGACTTTAGAACTTCATAACAATAGTGTTTATTATATTTATCATTACACACATGCACACACACACACACACATTGGGATAAAAACAACAAAAGCGTAACCCTTGAGATTTTACCTTCCATAATAATGGTATCATATAAATATACAGTTGGTCAGTGAAATGATTCTTGCCAGAAGTTCCCAAATTTTAAGGACTCCTTTTGCCCGGTTTACTTATGGATTGGCAGAATGGCCATTCAAGCTTTTGCAATACAAAGTAAAATAAAAATAAATTTGATTCCTTTAAGTTAAAGAACTAAAAAGCATTTTAGGAAACATTTTCCCCCCTGGAGTCTAGTTTCCTTGTCTAGGCCTAATTTGCTCTTATATGGCCAAAATTACAAGTGGAATTAGGAGAGAGAATGTGGGAGGGGAGCAGGGGAGAGAGAGAATAATTACTGGAGTTGAAGCTTAGCCTGGAGTTACTGCCCTCACTTATTTTCCTTGCAGTAGGGTTTATGGAAGTTCTGGCCATAAATCTTAACAAAGAAGTCTGAAAAATCAATATTTAATTAATTTTTAAGAGTTGAATTTTACCAAGTTCTCTTAGTCATTTTCAAAAACTAATGGTTAGTAAATGGTTAAAATGGAAAGACTGTTTTATTTTTGAAATAGGAGAGGAAAGGGGAACATTAGCAGAGAGACCGAATGGAGAAGAATGCCTATCCAACAGGGACATATCTGTGCAAGATGAAGCCTGTAGAAGAAGAAATGCTTAAAGTGTTTTTTTTCCCCCATAGACTAAAACTACTCCCGTTATCAGCAAAGAAGGAGCAGTTGAATCCCAAAGCCCTGAATCTTGACCCTTAATACATACCTGACTCCTACAGGCCTCTGGCTAATTCTTGATACTGCTGCTCTGGCTTTGTTAGCAGTGGATTTGGAGGGGCTGCTGCATTTACTTCAAACCTCTGCCCTAAGAGTAGCCTCTTCCCTTAATTTGTCAAAGCACAGGGGAGGCCAGGCTGAACATTTCAGTGGAGCTTTGCAGGGGGCTTCCCGTAAACTCACAGGACCACTGGCATAAGAATCACTGTGGGGAGCTTATTAAGATGCCTGTGTCATCCTCAAAGATTCTGATTTTACAGATCTGGACTGGCACCCAGGAACCTGCATTCTTAACTACCTCCCAGGTCCACCAAATGAAGGCGGACACACCTTGACAAACACCGTGGGAGAGGCCAGCGTTAGGCCAATGGCGTTAGGAGGGAATTATAAATCAGAACCTATGAATATCCCTATCCTAACCTGTCACTATGGCAGTTTGTAGGGAGAAGTACACACTAAGAATGATAGCAGATGAGCATCATCATGCCACTTTAATGAAAATACCCCAGGAAGCTGCCCTAGAGCAAATGGCTCAGCTTTGATGTCCGTGTGTGCTTTGGGGACCCACAGAGCTGCTGCAGGAGGCAGAGTGTGAACAGAGTGCCGATGGAGGTGCTGCTGTGTAAGGCACAGCAACTTGTCCACTGGTAAAAACAGGCTCAGCGAACACACAGCTCTGGCTAATTAGATTAGCAGCTTCTCCATTGGGTGGGTGGGGACTAAGAGGTGGGCAGGCAGAAGAATAATTTCCTTTTATCTGTGGGAGAATAATAGGAATGAATTAGACAAATGAATATGTTGACACACCCAGTTGATAAATGTATTCTGTACTTGTTGCTTGGGAGGAGGTTCAATTCCATTTATTATTTTTCCCCTCCTTTAATAAGTGGTTATAGACAGATACTGGGTTGAGGGAAAAGAATTTACGTATATAGGACATCACTTTTTTTATTGCTTTGAGAGAGAGAGAGAGAGAGACAGAGAGAAACATCGATCAGTTGCCTCCCATGTGTGCCCCGACTGGGGATCGAATCTCCAACCTAGGTATGTGCCCTGACCGGGGATTGAACCCTCAACCATTGGTGTACAGAACGATGCTCCAACCAACTAGACCACCCAGCCAGGGCTATAACGGTTCACTTTTTAAACTTCCCTCTAAAATGTCCAAATCCTAGAAGACTCTGTCATAGTCCCTGATGAGTAGTGCTAGGGTGATTGATTACAAGACTATATATAAGATTATAAGAGTAAAGGTGACGATGTATTAGTTGAGTAGATGCCACATAAACTCTTTTCAGATTAAAATTTTGGAAAATCAGTAAAATAACAGGATTGGCAAGCCTAGACCATCTTCTTAAGATGAAAATTGTTTGCTGTTATGTTTTCCAATGAATTAAAGCAGCAAACCTCAAAACACCTTTTCCGTCGGGGGCGGTCCGTGTGAGATGCGGCAGTGAGAGCTGCTGCGTGATCTGTGATGACGATGGGAGCTCTGAGGGACTGCGGGGGACGTGTGCTTGCTCAGTAACGTAAATAGCTTGGCCACAGGCTTGTTCTTTTTGGTTCCGGCAGCCTCAGCCGTGCACACTCTGTCAGCCTCAAACACAAGTCATAAACTCCTTACAGTAGGATATTTACTTCGTGTGTATTGGAAATTAGACTTGTTTCTACTTGACTTAGATGCTTGCTCCCTTTGGTTTTCTTATCTAATATTGATGGGTAAGTTAGCTCAGGCAGGAGCCCTTGCTCTTCTCCCCCAGGAAGACACTCTTTAGAACAGTGTATCACAAAACAGTGTATCTTAGCAGGGACTATGGATTAATTTCACGTGACCCCTTATCAGCTGTTAACCTTGGATAACAGGTGCTGTTTATCTGGGCCGCGGTGCCTCTCCCTTATCTGCTCGAGATAAGGAATCCATAATCTTGTATCCTTCTGAGGCCCGTGCCCTGGTCCTATCTCACAACTTCTAGCAGGAGCACGGTAACAGACCTCTGTGCTTTTGGAACACTGGTCTTCTTGTCTGGACTGTCCTTCAAGGCGTCAGCTTCTGTTCATCCTCCAAGACTAACACCCCCTCTGCAAAGCCTTTCCTGACCCCTATTCCCTGCCATCTGCATTCCCGATTTGCTCTCCCTGTGTGCTCTGTGCATATGGCTATAGCAGCTCTTAACGTCCCTTCCAACCTGCCTATAGCCTCCACAAGGATATTTATACTCTGGTACTTGGAATTCCTCTGAACATTTTTCAGCAGCTGGTGTTTCCCTGGGGAAGGGCGTAGTTAGCAATGGAGAAGGACATAACTCTCCTGTTATGGTTTTCAGGCACAAGGGAAGCAGAAGTCCCTACCTGCCATTTATCAAACGTTTTAAATTTTTCACATTGATTTCCAATCCCTACAGATCGCATGTGATCACATGAGCACAGACAGCCTGGCCACTGACTCCAGCCCTGCGAAGACGCCCTGGTTAGTTTGTCTTGATGACAGGTTTGGCTTAGCTCATCAAATCCGCAGCAAGCAGTGCCGTCTCTACTCTTTAGGGTGAGTACATTTTACAGCAGAAGAAAACAAAAACACTTCTGCAGGTGGCCAAGGCCTTTTCAGCAGCACAAAGTTATGAATGGATGCAGTGCCTAGCAGGCGCTGGGCTTTGCCTCTGCCATCACTCAGACTCACCTGTCTGGGATGCAACTGTGGGTCCTTGCTGACTACCCAGAGGAGCCAGGGCCACTTGCTCTCTCGTTCTGTGGGTAGTGATTCAATGTTCAGCATAATGATGATCCTTTTGGTGAAGTCAATGATTTCCAGCTACAATTAGAGCATTTTTATTTTAAAGAGAGGGAAAATTATTACGAATGCACAAAGAAAAAAGAAAGAACAGTGAGGATATTAGAAATTTTATATGCAGTTATGATGAGTGACCCGAAGCAAATGGGCACTATTGGATTTTTATGTGTGTGACAATGGTAAATCTCTGTACACTTTTATTTATTTTTTTGAATGTTAGTGACTTTATTTTTTTAAGATTTTATTTATTTATTTTTAGAGAGAGGGGAAGGGAGGGAGAAAGAGAGGGAGAGAAACATCAATGTGTGGTTGCCTCTTGAGCACCCCCAATAAGAACCTGGCCCGCAACCCAGACATGTGCTCTGACTGGGAATTGAACCGGTGATTCTTTGGTTTGCAGGCTGGTGCTCAATCCACTGAGCCTCACCAGCCAGGGCAAATCTCTGTGTACTTTTACATTAAACAAAGAAAGAAAGAGAAGGAACCTTGAGGCAGAGGGTGGACTCTGGTCCTGCAGGGGCCACTCTGTGTCATCACGGATGGGGAAATAAAAATAAGCTGTCCCAGACACTTTTCTCGGTCTGCCAGGGAGAGGGGTGGTGATTCCCTCTAGTGGAGAAGGCCTTGAGCCCCTGTGCTTGATGGCTTTTATTGAAAGGATTATTAGTGGGGCTAGATAGAAGGAAGGCACAGGTGATCACATTACAGCCGTATGTTAATGTTTACAGAGAATAGATGATGATTTGAAGAAAACAAATGGCAGGAACACACCTATTTACATGGGTCTGAGAGGAGACGAGTAAACATGAGAGTGTAAACACAAGAGCGCCAAAGGGTTTAGGGTCAGGGTCTGTGAATAATGTAAATTTCCTTCCCGGCATGAGCTGCTTATTATAGCTTTTGAGGGAAAAACAAAGCATGCTGCAAAGAATTTACTTCTAGGCCTGATTTCCCCTAGGAACCGCCAGATTCATTCTAGGGCTGTCTCCAGTATTGTTTCAAGCCTCAGCCATGTAGCAGGGGAGCAGAGCAACCAAGGGATAAGGAGACTCCTTTCAGACAGAATGAGGACCCCAGCCATATGAAAGCCAAGGGGTGAGGGTCTTTTGCCCTTTCTCTGTGTCCCCCAAGTCCTTCCCATGATGGCCCATGCAACTGTGCCTGCCTTAGGTTGCCCCTGCCATCGAGGGGTCTTACCCATCATTGACTAACCAGCCATCCTTCAGGGCCAAGCAGGGTGATGTGAGGGAGGCAGATGCTGCACCCCTGCCAGGGGGACAGATTTTGTCTCCTCAGTGGCCTATTTTCCCAAGGCCTCCTTGCTTAACTCCAGCCTTGGGGCCCTCTCGCCTCTCAGCGGGCTACAGTTCCTGAAACCAGACAGGATGTTTCCCAATAGAACCTCTTATGAAACAATGAGATTTTGTCAAAAATGTGGGAAATATTGACATTCAGTTATTCAGGCTGAAATGACCTAAATGTACAAATGGATTTAGTGAGCTTTTTGTAAAAGGGTGAATTTAAAGTAATAAAACTTTTATACCGAATACACCAGTACTCATTAAACAGTTCTGAACTTACAAATGCTATATGTCTCAAAAAAGGCAGGAGAGAGGTTTTTGTATCCTCAGCAGAGGATATGTATATTGATTTTAGAAGGAAAGAAGCGGGGGAGGAGAGAGAGGGAGGGAGGGAGAGAGGGGGAGAGAGAGAGAGAAACAATGATGTGAGAGAGAAACATCAACTGGCTGTCCCCTGTGTACCTGTAACGCCCTGCTCGACTGGGGATTGAACCCAGTACCTAGCTTAGTATTTAACGCCTTAGAATGATTTCATTTAAAGCATATAACTGAGTAAAATGAAACTGGGAAAGCTGTTTTTGTAGAAATTTTTAAAATTTCTTTTTGCTTTCCTTAATACCTCCAAGCCATTAGATAAGGTAGTTCTGCTGTAAGAGTTTAGATTATTCCATGCGAAAAGGTAGTTTCTTATTTTCATTTAAATGTTCACTATTCCAAATCAACTTTGTAAAGAGCAAGTGAGAACAGCTGAATTCTACTGGGAATAGAAATGTATAGATTATGAGGGCCAACATTTGATTCAAAACCTGAAAATGCTTAATTGAAAACTGGGAACCAAGTATTTGCTATGGCCTAAAAAAGAATGCCTGGGATTGTGGATATATATGCTGATCACACTGCTACTCAGGACGTAGGGGCCAGGCAAGCACCCCCACTTTCTCAGGTGAATTCCTCACTTGAGGGGCAGGTGAATAGCAGGCTGACCGCACCGCAATTGATGCTGACGGCAGAAAGAAAGCCAGGGCAGAAGCGGTGTCCCCGAAATGGGGTGCACGGGTTCCCAGCACTGGGAGCGTTGGGATGGTTGCGAGGTAGGTGCGAGGGCAGGTCGCAGGTGGGTCATTTGCCCCTACACCCAGGCAGGATGTGCTCCAGGCCCCAGGGCTGTGGCCACAGCAACCCCATACCACTGCTGTGCCCAGCCATTCCCACCCCAACCACGGAGCGTGGGTGCCGCTGCACGCGGGGTAAGCTCCCGCCTTCTGCCCTGTTTCCTACCCTCCTTCCACCCCCAAGACATGGAGCAGGCATCACCTCCACCTCCTCTCTGAGGTTTGACACATCTTTACTAGGAGCCAAAACTTTTTATTTTACAGTTAATGTAAAAGACTTTTTTTTCCCCCTCTGGGAAAGTGAACTGTGTGTGACGTTCATTTGAAAATGAAAATCAGATTGTTTCAGTTACAGAGGGTAAGACAGGAAAGGCACTGAAAAGGAACGCTATGTTATAAAGAAGGGGAAAGACAAGAGAAAATGAGAGGCTGAGGGTTCTGATAATAGTATCATCTACTGCAGAACCTCAGTCGGGTCTGCCCTGCAAGTCTTCTCGTGTGTACGGTGGAGGCGTGATGGTGGGAGCCGGCGGGGGAGCCGAGAGATGAGGGAGTGATCTAAAGTGAGGTGGGAAAAATCACCTATTTCATCCTTCATGTGAAAGACTGTATTTTAGGGGTAGGAGTGAGAGTGGAAGGGAAAACTGGAGATGGGGTAATACATGGATAAATATGTCTCATCTCTTTTCTAGTTCTCTGGAGGGTTGCACCATTTGGTTTCAAGACATTAATTCTCAGCATAAAACAGAAGACGATTTGATAGATAACACACGAGTAAGCAACAAGAGCCAATATTTTACACAGAAAATCTGGGACTTTCAATTTCCATGAGGTCCAATGACTGGACTTGCAGTCAGGAGCAATGACTGAATTCCAGAGCCAAAAATTTTCATCTTATTATAGTTTAATTAACACAGGAGCTCATAGTATATATGAATGAGGAATCAGAAAATCATGGACCCTAGGACACTTGTAGATAATTTTTTTCCTAATCACCCCCATGATATTTTAATACCATAGATATACTATGATCTATTTATGTAACATCTATCTGTGCCTTTTTAAAAAAGTATTTTATTTATTTATTTTTAGAGAGAGGGGGAAGGAGGGAGAAAGAGAGGGAGAGAAGCATCAATATGTGGTTGCTTCTTGCATGCTCTGTCCTGGGGACCTGGCCTGCAACCCAGGCATGTGCCCTGATTGGGAATCGAACCAGCAATGCTTTGTTTCGCAGGCCAGCACTCAGTTCACTGAGCCACACCAGCCAGGGCTGTGTCTGTGCTTTATATGTAAAATGAAGATGTTTGTGCCTCCAAGAATCAATTTGTGCCCCCTTAGGGGTAAGATCATCCATGTTGAGAATATATGTTAAAAAAAAAATCTTGGCATTTCATGCAATGTTATTTAATGAAAATTAATAATTATAAAATATTTTTATCCACTATTCAATGTCATTTATGCTTAGGAAAGCGTATTTTTCTCTAGTGGTTGGCATTCTATAGATTTAATTCCAATCACCTTAATAATTAGATAATAGATAATCTAATTGTCTGTATAAAAATAGAGAATCTTTTGCCAGGTTCTCTGGTCCCTGCTGGGATGAAGAACGGCCTACTGCACTCCTGGGGAAAAATGCTAATTCTTGTACCTCTTTCAACCCTTCTGCTCTCAAAGGTGCAGGTTAAACATTTTCCCTATAGCTGCTCTGATTTTATTTTTTAGGTTTTTTTAAACAGCTTTGTTGAAATATAATCCACATACCTCACAAATCACTCATTTCAAGCGTGCAATTCAATGTTTTTTGGTCACTATAGTAATTTTTACCACCTGTCTATCACTCCCCCAAGAGAAGCCTTGTGCCCAGTGGCCATCACTCGCGCTTTCTTTCCAACCCTCCTCCCTGCCTTCCACCTCACAGTCCTAGGCAGCCACTCGTCTGCTTTCTGTCTCTGTACATTTGCATGGTCTGGACATTTCATATAAATGGATGCATAGTACATGTGGCCTTTTGTGATTGGCTTTTTCTTTTCACATAATGTTTGTAAGGTTCCTCTGTGTTGTCCCATGTATCAGTACTTCATTCCTTTTAATTGCCCAGTGATATTCCATTGTATGGATATACTGCATTTTATTTATTCACTCATCAGTTGATAGACATTTGGGTGGTTTCTACTTTTTAGCTATTGAGAATATGTTGTTATGAAAATGCATGTGTACGTTTTTGTGTGGACATTTGTTTTCATTTCTCTTGGATATATACCATTTTAAATTCCTACAAGCAATGTACAAACGTCATTGCGAACACTTATTATTACTGGTCTTTTTGATTCTAGCTTTCAAAAAAATAGCCGCCTGATAGCCACCCGTGGCTAGGAAGTGGTGTCTCATGGAGGTTTTGATTTGTTTCTCGCTGTTGGCTAATGATCTTGAGGATCTTTTTATGTATTTATGCTCTGAGTTTCTGATTCCTGGGGAACATAAAGAACACTTACCTTAGTACTCTCAGGAATATTTTTAAAGGAGTAACCAAGGACCTAGAAGAGTGCCACATCCATCCCTCTACCCTTCGGTAGTTATTCTGCCACAGCAGGTTAGATAATGGAAAACGTAGTGGAGGTGACAATGTTCTGAACTCCGCGGGTTCAATGGGAGGTTGAAAATAGGAAAGAGGATCTCTTGGGTAAAAGGGGTGGGAGGTTTTGTGAGAGGAGTGCTGAATCTTTTCCGAGGCCAAAAGGATGGAGAGACTTGTAACTGAGGGGCATTAGAGAGTTGACATGCTGCTGAGCCTGTGAAGAAAAGAGCAGCAAAGTGGGAGTGAAAGGAGAGGACAAGGCAAATACAAGCATTAAGAATGAAGACTGTCTAAGGGGAGGATGTCTATACTGAAAGCTTGTTCTGTAGTTAACTAGAACGAGGCAATGATTGTTAGCCAGTGAGCTAGTATATTTCTCAATTATGAAATAACCTGAAACAGTAGAGTCTAAGAGAATGAAGTATTTCTGCCCTGGGCCCAGGTTTAGTCAACACGTTATAGGTAATCTGTGGGATTTTGGTATCTTAAATCACATCTAATTCTAGTATTTTGGGCAGGGAAGCTATAATCACCATTTAAAAAAATAATCTCTCAGTTAATTTCATGTTTTTCATTCAAATTGAGGCTTTATTCAAGGTGATAAACCTTATATGTATCACTAAATAAGGAATATTTTTGAACAAATTAAAAACGTTTAAGGATGTGAATTTTCCACACAATGTCCTCTCTATTGGATATTGGATACTTAAATATAATTGCTTTCTCCTGTCAATGTGGATTTTACGTGAGGTGCCTCTTCTGCTTCTTGAGTACTAGATCCACTAGGACCACATACCTTTGTCTTTTTTTTTCTTTACGGTGCTATTTTAAAATACACTCTATTTCTAAGAAAACAGCTGCTATCTTTAAGTCAAACTGCATGCACAGCACTGTGGCCATTGGAATGAAGACGGATTACCTTGTTAGCAGAATGTACCTGTCCCTACAGGGACTGGTCCTAGGGCTTACATTTTCAACAGATACGAGAAAATCTCTGAAGACAGCTGGGTAGTCTTCTTTGTTTCACTGCTACTATGGTTTACGTCTTTAAAAAAATTTTGATGTTCTTCTACATGTTTAAACATGTGATTCTCTGTTCTGTGTTTGTTTAGACACAGAACTCTTTCCCTACTTTCTTTTATCCAGAAGCTTTTTGCTATAATGCTTTTTGTTCTGTGTTTGTTTAGACACAGAACACTTTCCCCACTTTCTTTTATCCAGAAGCTTTTAGCTATAATGCTTTTTGTGAAAGAAGTATTATTGAATATGTACAGTTAGCCACATGTTAAAATAGGAGAGGTCTTGCTACATCTAAGAAAATTGGCCTTGAACTGTCATTTTTGTTAATCCAACACTTTTTTGCTTTATTACATTTTGGGAGGTGGGGTACATGTGTTTATTTCCATCCTCTTCTTTTTCTCCAGGCTGGGAAGTGATGACACCCATTTTGAGGTTAGCATGGCCAACAATGGATGTGAAGTCCATCGTTTTGACCCTAGTGTTAAATCAGCTCACATTCTGGAGAGTCAGCGCCTTTGGTATCACCGCTTGTCCATCAACTGGCGGGATCCTCATCCAGCTGTTGCTGCCCAAAAACTACACAGCAACACCAGAAAATTGGGAACAATTTTGAATGAATTTGGGCATCACAAGGTGAGATTTTTTTTCATTTGATTTCATAATTTAATAAAGTGGGCAAACTCATAAACTGTTTTATTTTAATGCAAACCAAGAATTGGATTGTTGAAGGCTCAGTATCTTTAAATTATATTTTTCAGTTACAGTTTACATTCAATATTATTTTGTAATTTGATTATTCACCAGTTTCAGGTGAATAGCATAACGGTTAGGCAATCATATGCTTCACAAAGTGACCCCCCAATATTCCCAGTACCCACCTGGCACCATGCCTAGATATTTCAATATTATTGGCCATATTCTCTATGCTGTAGTTTACATCCCCGTGACTATTTTGTAACTAGGAGGTCCAGTTTTAACCTTACCCATCACCCATCATTCTTTATAGCATCAGTTCTGTAGACATAAGGTTTTAACAACGATAGAGACAGTTAAATTGTTTTGAAAAATGTAGTTGCCTCTGAGTAGTGCTAAGTAAGGTTTTGGCTAAGACCAGACAGGAAGACTAAGAAACCTCCTCCTGGCATAGGCTCCAGAGCACCATTTCCGATTGACATTTGATTTAAAATTTCCAGACAGAGGAAACTACTTGTGTCAGCCTCAAATATAAAAAGTAATCAGACTCAGCTTTACTTTTGATAACAGATTGCTTGTGTATCATGTTTCTCAGTGTTGTAACAACTATTTCGAGTCTCTAGGCTCTTAAAAGTCAGAAAATATGTGTAGCTCTGATTAAAATGTACTTTGTAAAATTGAATGGACATTATGTGTGTTGCAACTGAGATACTTATGTTCAAAGGATGTCAAATCTCTACAAATATTTTATCATAAACGGATAGCAAAAAAAGAGACTCAAACTTTGAACTGTGTTCTTAAAAGCAAATTTTAGTGTAGAGCTGAGCTAATTGCATTTTGTGGGCAGATACTAGAGAAATTCTCCTGAGTGTACTTGGCTTATGTTCGATTGCCAACTCTTCCTGGGCTTCACCTAACTTGGCCTATTATTTCCAGACAGAGATGCCCTGTAATTTAGAACATGCCAGAATGGGTATATCTGAGAAGCAGTGAACATGGGGCTCAATTTTAAACTTCAGTTCACTGCTTCATCTTTAATCAAAGGGCTTTTCCTCTGCATTGTTCTTCTCCCTCCTCCTCCCCCCCGCTTCTTCTTCTTCTTAAAAAAAAAACAAAAAACAAAAACAAAAAAACCTGCCTTTAATTCAACAGCAGGAGCTTCTTTAGAATTCTTCAAAGAATTTGATGTTCTTTTAACATGTTATTAACTATTGATTTGTATTTTGCTTTGCTACTGAAAGTAACTAGCATTTAATAGTTAGGAGCCTCAATGAAAAATTTATAGGATTTGGGGGGTAAAATCTGTGAACAGAACCCAATAGATTAAGAACATTTTTCAGAACTTTATTTTGCTTTTGCTGCTTGTTACCGTCATATACCTGTTTTTTTAACAGCTGAAAATTACAGGCTTGATTCTCTCATATGTCAACTCTGGATTATTCAAAGATCTAACTACCGATTCTTTGTATTCATCTAGGCATTTTCCTGCTCCTCCTGAATGCTTTTTACATCCTGGCCCTATCTACCTGCCCCCCACCCCGCCCCAAGAAAACACTGAATAGATGTGAAACTCAAAGCAACTTTGCCTTTTTGAATAATATGTTAGCAAAAGATTTGGTAAATGTAAGGATAATACTATGGAAAAAAGATCTGTGGAAGTAATTTATCTAAGTCACATTGCCTATGGAAAATGTGTTTTCAGATAGCCAGGTTCCCACCTGACCTGTGCTTGTTTAATGCCATGGGAGCTGAAGTAGGCAAACCTTTATGCTGAGGATGAAGCATGCAGTCTTTACAATCCTGCTCCTGAAACAGCAGAAACACTTACATACCTGAAAAGGAGAAATGTTTTGGAAAATTTATTGTATTTTTAAAGCTACTTATTTTTATTAAAAACATGAATAATGTCACTTGAAAACAGTTAAGATGGTAATTTCAATGTGTATTTTACCACAATAAAAAAAATAGGAAAAAAAACCCCCAATAATAATGAATGCGATCTGGCTCAGAATTGCCAAGTATGTTTTTGCTGCGTAAATAAAATCCCTTGTTGAAGAATTTAAAAGAGACTGATATTCTTTTTTAGAGATTGTTTTGGGGGGAAGGCTTTAAAACAAAAACAAAACAAAACCCATCGGTGTGAGTGATGACTTCCTTTAGGAACATGTTTCTAGGAGTTATGCGATTGCAGATAAAAGGAAACCTTATTTCTGGCCTGTAGCAAGCAAGGTCTGTTTTCATTTTTCTGTATGTGTACAGGCACTGGTAAATAGGACATGGCTCTGGCAGGGAAAGGAAATAGAAAACATACACACACGCACAAACATGGCGGTGCTCTTTGCCTTGCCTTCTTTACTCATTTTTCTGGAAGTGACTATAGCAACCAAAGGGGTTTTGGTTGGGTTATTGTCACTTCATGACTTTAAAACATCTCTTATAGTTTGGTGATGTTTTCCGTGTTAAGCTGTTATTTTTCTTCTTTTTATCAGACCTTGTGATTCCAGCCACTCAGGCAAAAATGTAGGCAAAATGAAAGGAAGTATTTTGAGATGATGACAGAAAGATGCATATGGCTTTCTTACTGCTTTTAAAACTCTTCGGTAATTTTAACTTCAAACTATAAATCAAAAAATCTTTCTAAAGTACCAAGTGAGAGCAGCTGCCTCAGCAAAAGCACGGGAACCAGAGCCCAGTCTGTCAGGGAATAATATCACCTGAACCCAGCATCATTTGAAATGATTAACGGTCTTTACTGAATTGCTTGTTGCTGTAACTACACATTAGAATTTTCCAGAATATGACTGGAAATATTGAATCTGAAATTTCTGCACATATTAATCATAATGTATGCTCTTTTCCTAAGGTCTTTATTACACAGAGTATGCTAAATGATCCCAGCAAGTTAATGATAAATTATTTTTTTCAGTCTCAACCAGGCTGATGATTAAATAACAGGACTGCATTAGAGTTTACCTGCAAATGCATTAATCTAGGTTTGAGGCATGGTCCTCTTTTTGGTTTTTGGCATTGGGCAAGTCTTAAATGACTCTCGGGTGCTCAGTTTGATTGTCAGTAAAATTGGGTCAATGATACTACCTAAATGGATTGTTTTTGAGAATGAGATCAGAAAGCACACTGTGAAAGCCTCCAGCAGGACGCCTGGCATGGATGAGTCATTTGTTCATACATTCAAAGAATTTTTATTAACAATTTCAGGAAATTTGTACTAAATTTCATAGAAAATATTTTCCTGCTCTGTTTTCAGGGAAAATACATTGGAGATTTTTCTGGAAACTGCTAACTGCCCCTAATTCTAGTCAAGAGTTTTTAAGGAAAGTTTTGTGTGAAACTGAAGGGCAGTTGGCCCTTCAGATGTGCTTGCTGGGAGACGTTATTGTTTGCTGCCTCGGGGCACTGAACGGTTTTGCTGAGATTGTATAGAAAGTGAATTCTGTGCTGTATAGAAATGAAATAAGCTGCTGAGAATTAATTCAGAGCAGATGTAGACCAAAGGGGACGACTCGGGTGCAGCTGGATTTCCTGCCAGCTCAGTGCTGAGGAAGGAGGGGGGTCTTCCTTCTGGAACTCTCTGGACGCTGCCCCAGTGGCCCAGTGTCCGCGTGGACCCTCATAGGAGAGGGAGTTTCAGCTTCCCGGGGCTGAGGACTCCCCATTGATCACAAAACATCTGTTCTGTTGTGTGGTAGCTGCTGTGTTAGGGAGAGTATGGGCTTTGAAATTAAACCACAGAAAGATTCCTTTTTCTTTTTGCTGATCAAATTGGCAAATATAAACAAAATACTGATACTGCCCTACATCAGAATGCTTGCTGGGAATAATACTCATGCTTTGCTTCTGGAAATGGAAAATGATAGACCCTTTCAGGAAGAAATTTCAACCATGTGTATATATGATGTCACTTTTTAATTCCTAGAAATTTTCTTTGCTTTAAATTCTATTTTGTCTCCTATTATTTCTGCCATTCCAGGTTTCTCTCTCTTTTTTTGGATAAGTATTTTGATGAAATGCCGTTCTAGATTCCTCTATTTTCAGTTTTTTGATATAGTTTTAGTTTAGCTAGTGTATAAGAGTGACATTTAGTATATGCCTGGATTGTATTTTTAAATCCAATATAATAATCCTTGTCTTTAAACAGGTATGTTCATAGTTTTTGCAATAAATGGCATATTTGGACTCTTGGCATATTTCACTCTTTTAAATTGGGCTTTTTGTTTTTCTGTACTTTTTTCTCTTCTTAACAAAGCTTTTTCTTTTTTTTCTTGCCAAAGCTTGTTTCTCTTTTTGCCAAAGCTTAGTTCAGTAAAAGTTATATGGGCAACTGGGCAGCCTTTTGTTAAAAAAATTAATTTTGATTTGTGTTTGATGTCTTCTACTGAAAAAAATTAAAACTAAATAATAAATTTTTCAAAGAGCTGATGCTATAAAACTACTAGAAAAAACTATTGTGAATTAAAAACAACCCTGGAGTAAGGAAGTCAAAAGAGAAGGGATGATTAATTTGATTAGAGATAAATATAAAATTTCTGCATGGAAAAATATCAAAAGCAAAATTAAAAGAAAATAACAAACTAGGAAAATATTTACAACTCATTTCATAAGCAGAGAGCTAATTTCACTGGTATATAAAGAGCTTCAACAAATCAATAAAGAAAAGATTAACAGCTTAATACAAAATTGGATAAAAATGGGAAAAACTGTTCACAGAAAAAGAAATACAGATGGCTCATATGAAAAAGTGTTCTAACTTGTTCATATTAAGAGAAATGCAAATGAGACTATACTTAGATACAATGTTTTTCATCTATCAGATTATCAAAGATAGGAAGTGGCATGAATGTAAATTGGTACAATCTTTATGCAAGGCAGTTTGGCAATATCTATTACATTGCAAATGCGAATACCCTTTAACCATCAATTCT